AGTTTCAAATAATTTATAAATATTTATTTAAAATAAATAAATATTCTTATGTTAGAATGAAAAATGTTACTATTACTGTCACGGCGTGACATGTCACAGCGTGACAAACTTAAAAAAGACCAAATAGAAGTTTCTCAATGAAAGACTATTTAGTTATTATAATAAATTTTTAATTTAAAAAGCAAGAGCCCAATCTATATTTTGGGTGAGACAAATATACATAGAAATTTAAAAAAGTTTCAAAAAAAATGGTTTCAAAATGATTTACTACAAAAATAATTTAAATTTGAAGTCTAAAAAATTTTGTTTAAAATTTAAGCATCAAATCCTAAAATTCTTCGAAAACCAGTTCTACATGTTAAATGTTTTTAGAAAATACAAAACTTTAACTTTTGAATGATACTCGTAGTTTTTTATTTTCTAGGATTTTAAATTTATATTAAACTTCTTGTACAACGACGAATAGCCCTCTAGCGCTATTAGACGCACTATTTCTGCTTTAATGAATTTTTTTACGACCTAAAACAGCAATTTCATATATTTAGAGTGGCTCTAATAGCGTCAGAATATATATTTATTTAAATTAATAAAAAACTTAATTTTTTCTTCAACAACTTGTTTCTCCATCAGTAGAACAATATATATATATATATATATATATATATATATATATATATATATATATATATATATATATATATATATATATATATATATATATATATATATATATATATATACAGTATGTGCCAAAATAGTCACCATGTTGGAACAAAAAAATATTTTATATATATTATATTAGAAAAGCTGTGAAGATAAATGAAATTTTAATTTTATTAATTAAATTCAAGGCTTAGTTAACTAAAAATATTGCTTTTTGTTAAATTTAGAAGAAGTTTCAATTTTTTTTTTAATTTTAATGTGAAAAGCTAATGGTGACAATTTTGTCGCGAATGAAAGCAATTAACATATTTCTCCACAGTTAATTAGGCATATGACATAAATTAATAGCCTTATAACTAAAATGATTGAGCTATCAACTTTTCACAGATTTTTAACGATTAAATATCATTTAAAGTTTGATTTTGTTTACAAAACATAAAAATAACATAATAACAAAACATAAATATAAAAGTATTGTTATTATCATCATGAAGAAAACAAATCTTGAACTAGAAAAAAATATTGTAGAAAGGCTTAAATCCGGACAATTTTATCGTGAAATCGCTGCTGAGTTCGGAAAGTCTCATAATATCATATATAAAATCAAATTGCGCAATAATTTAGAAGTAAATAAGCCTAAAAGTGGTCGAAATAAAATTTTTACATCAAGAGACCAAAGAACAGTCGCTCGTTTAGTTGCTTCTGGAGAGTCTAAAACTGCAAAGGATGTTACTAATTTAATGAATAACAGCTATGGTTCTCATGCTTCAGTGCGGACAGTCAATAGAGAGCTCAAAAGAATTGGTTTTTGATCCAGAAGAAAGATCAAGAAGCCATTGTTTGCTTCTCGTCACTGCCAAGCTCGTTTAAATTATGCTAAACTTCATGCAAACATGACTTTTGATGACTTTTATGACCGGATTTGGACAGATGAAAGTAAAACTAATATGTTTGGATCAGATGTTATAAGATATACTTAGAGAAAGCCTAATTCGCCATTAAGTGCTTGAGATTTTACACTAACCATTAAATATGGTGGAGGATTTTGAGAAATTTGGGGATGTTTCTGTGCTTGTGGAGTCAGTGAAATAATGAAAATTAATGGAATAATGAACGCTGATGACTATATCAAAATGTCCGACCTTAAAGGTCAGATATTTCGATTTAAAACGGGGCAGAACTGAACGTAACACGATATTCATGCAAGACAACGACCTTAAGCATAAGACTGATAAGACCATTAAATTTCTTCACAAGAAGAAATTGAAAGTCATTGACTGGTCAGCACAAAGCCCTGATCTTAACCCACTCGAAAATTTGTGGGTAATAGTTAAACAACAGATCTACAACTTTCCTACTCCACCTAAGAATAAGGATGAAATTTGGGCTCGTTTGCAATGATTTGGTACTCAATTACACCCAAGGAATGCCGCAAATTGGTTGCTAGTGTTCCTGAAAGAATTCAGGCTGTAATTAAATCTAAGGGAGGATACACTTGATATTAATTTACTACAATATTTTATTTGCTTTCATTTGCAACAAAATTGTCACCATAAGCTCTTCACATAAAAATTAAAAAAAAAAATTCAATATCCTCTAAATTTAATAAAAAGCAGTATTTTCAGTTAGCTAAGTCTTAAATTTAATTAATAAAACTAAAATTTCATTTTTCTTCACAACTTTTCTATAAAAAAAAAACTAAATTATTTCTTTGTTCAAACATGGTGAAAATTTTTGGCACATACTGTATATATATACACACTAGAGCACTATTTAACACACTTTTTCTACTTAAACGGTGTTTTTTCAACTTAAAGCAGCAATTTTATATATTTCG